GGTCTTAATAATAAAAACCCAGAGTCAGATATTAGGGGGCAAAAGCTGAAAGATCAGAGCAGAGCAGCCAGCCACTAGTTCTTCCGTCTATGAAAGCCTCAGAGCGAATGGGTTATCTTGTCTCTACAAGTCCTCAGACTTGAGCTCCTGTCTCCACTTTCCTGATAATCCTCTCTCTACCCAGCCTTATCCCCTTCTGTCTCCACCTCCCTAGTGCTGGTATTAAAGGCCTGTGACTCCCAAAAACTCAGATTAAAGGTGTGAGCTATCACCACCTGGCTCTGATTCTCTCTTAGCTGGCCTTGAACTCTAGAGATCCACCCGCCTCTGCTTCCTCAGTGCTTCGATTAAAGGTGTGCGCCACCACTGCCTGGTCTGTGTGGCTAACTGGTGGTTAGCTCCTCACTCTGATCTTCAGGCAAGGTTTATTTGCTAAAGAACAAGCAAAATATCACCATAGAAGACACAGACATTTTTTTATTAAAATTACCATAATCTATCCTAAGAAACTCCTTTGTTCAGCAAAAGTTTCTCTAGTGTTCTTCTGACGACTACACCAATATTACTTCATTCCATATATACTTGCTTTTGCTACATCCATTATTCGTGATAATGTGAAATCTAATAGGAAAGACTATGGATTTTACAGAGATGAGCTGTCTTTCTTTAAGTCATTTATCATTCTTATTCCGTTTGCTCTGTTCCATTGACCTATTCACCTTAAAGATTTGAGCTAAACATTCATGAATACTACATACTACAATGAAATACACTACATACTACTCAAAACAGGTATATGCTTCGCTGTCAATGTGCATCCTACCAGCTGAAAGTAAAATTAACCATTTCACAAAGTTTCATGCATCACCAACTAACAAGTTCGTGAATGATAAATATTCAAACAGACAATAAACTAACACATAAGAACCAATGAAGCCGAGCTCAGTGCTGAAATCTTAACACAGAACTAATTATGTTCATATTCAACACATAACAAATACTAGAATGAGTCAATCCCTCATTGGCTCCAAATCTCTCATAGAAAGAACCCTTACAGAAATTGTCGTGACTCTCAATAATCAGTCCCTCAAATGCTGCATCCAAGAAAAGAGAACTGGCGTGGTGGCTCACATCTGGAATTCCAAAACTCAAGAGACCGAGTGAAGTGGTAGATAGCCAACCTTAACTCCATAAATCGTGACTTAGAAGCCACTACGGGCTACAGGGTTACATACTTGCTCCGAATCGGCAAATATTATAATATGCAAATTATTGAACAGTTGAGCAAGCACAACTTTGCAAATATCTTTGTGAACATTTCCCAAAGGAAAAACATCACCTAGGCTTAAAGACAAAAACATGTTTTTATTTTTTTTTTATATTTTTATTTTTTTTTTTGGTTTTTCGAGACAGGGTTTCTCTGTGGCTTTGGAGCCTGTCCCGGAACTAGCTCTGTAGACCAGGCTGGTCTCGAACTCACAGAGATCCGCCTGCCTCTGCCTCCCAAGTGCTGGGATTAAAGGCGTGTGCCACCATCGCCCGGCAAAAACGTGTTTTTAATATAAAGAATAAAGCAAAAACAGTGAGTTTACTGGTTATTCTGTACCGTTTAACAAAATAACCCAGACTTTAACGTAACAAAATTTCACTCAGCGTCTTCAAAAGATGAAAATCAGAGAATGAAGGGGCCTGGGACATCCTATACTTCTAGGCCTGACGGACATGCAGCTCTCACACCCGTCTGCCTGATAAGTGTAGCTCGCATGCCTCATCCAAGAAGACTCTTTTTTCAGATTATTTATTACAGGGATCCACAGTGGGTCAAAATGCTGAGAATTAATGACATGAGGCATCCAATCCCAAATGAAACACATTTCCAGCATAACTCACACAGTTAAGGCTCAGGGAGAACTGTGTTAGAAAAGATAGAAAGACCGTAAGAACCAGAGAACCAGGACGTCAAGTCTAGGTGGGGAACTGTAGACATGACAGAAAAGCTGTACCCAGGAAATCTCAGCAATGTTAGTCCCCTAACAAGATCGGCACAGTGACAATACCAGCTCATGTGTCCACATGGATTTGTACATTTCACAAGGTTCCAACCCCTAGATGGAGAGCTACAGTCCACCTGTGGCTGCTCAGGGCTGAAAGACTGGATCCCTGATAGGTTACTCTATCCCAAGTGGTCATCCTAAACACATCTGCATAGCAGTAACACTGAAGGGAACCAGTAGGGTGTTTTTGTGGAGTGTGTGTGTAACATATGTATATACATATACATGCAACAGTAATAATTTAAAGAGATGAATTTGAGACGATGTAAACAGAGGTACAGAAGATGTTAATGAAGCGAGGGGGTTAAAAATGATGTAAAAAATCTCAAAAACATTAAAAATGAAAAATTTGTCATTAAACTATAGCTATGAATAAAATGCAAAAAATTAATTTTAAAATGTACCAACATATTATGCGTGTACAAAAAGATCTAAATGTCCCATAAACTCGGTTGACTTGAGTGAGAAAGCTCATGACCTTTAGGACTGAAAGCTCTTAACATCATTTCATTTCTTTAATGAGCTTGGAACTGTGTAAAGGAAAGTTTCTTTACTTTGCAAGTGGAAAAACTGAAGTCACAGTCAGGAAAGATATTTTACCCAGGATGATTCATAAAGTCAATCTCAGAGAGAAGGGTGATATTTACAACCTCAAACTCCCACTGCCAGAAGAAATAGCAACCACAGTTCATCTCCCAGGCTCACAATAGTAGGCCCACCTCACTGGGTAACAAAAATGAGAGACAGACGACCAAACAGAAGCGATGTCAACACAGAAAGCGTCAGAACTGCAAATAAGACACCTAGTGCCTGGCTAGCCTGCAATCAGAAAGTGGTGTGTGCGTGTGTGAAACACTGAGATGCCCCGATTTGTACGTCTTCAGGTAAGAGAAGGAGATCTGTTTATTCTGGTGACTTCTGAAACACAAGAAAGAAATACTAGATGAACTTTCCACTTTAATTCCATGACCCCACATTCCAGGAGAGTTGAAAATAATTGAATTATTTAATTTAGGTGGAAAACCAGCTGCTCGGAACCGGTTTTGAGTTCTCACTGGCCAGGAGAACAAAGACAAAAGGTCAAGGTCAAAGGACTGAACTTGTTGCTAACAACGGGCTTCTGGAGGAGACTTGGTAATAGTGTAAGCACAAGCAAAGCATCATCAGCGAGGGCACCATAGCTAGTAGAGAGAAAGAATGAAGTGTCCCACGTCCCGCCTCCACGCCTGCTTGTGATACTCAACTGCATTCTAGGCTTAGCTATTTTTTTTCCAAGAAGACTCCCAATCATCTAAATTTTTCCTTTCAAAAGAAACCCCTTATTTCAGAAGCAGTACCGCCACCAACCCATTCCAATTATTCCCTGCAACTTTCCCAGTCTCTTTCAGGCCTGGCTACCGAGCTTAGTATAGCTTGGCTGCCCGCCAGATTCCTCTCTTCTTTCCTTGTCGGTCGTAAAAACTTGGAACACGCTCCTGGACAGCTCAAGGAGAGCATTTAATAATGCAGAGGAGCAATACCTTAGCAAGACCGTTGTTTCCAGAAAAGCTTGCAGTCAGTCACCAGCGTCTGAACTCTCCCAACAGGCGGGTTTTCTAGCAAGGCTATTTGTTTACAAGGGGGAAGGAGGGAAAGGCTGGCAGAGCAAGCAGGCCATTTGCAAATCTGAAAATTTTCCAATTCTTTTCAGGGTTTTCCCACTTCTCGCCATTCACTCTGTCTTCCAATCTGCTCTTTTACGACCTGATCGCCCATATGGACGACATAAAACCATCGGTATCCTGGCCTCTGCAAAACCTAGAATGAATAGGGGAGCTAGAACTGGCACTGTCTGGAAAGTTTTCGTTCTTAAACATTGGTGCAACATCTTTAAAAGAAGGCACAGAATAAATGTATTACACCTTCCTCACCGACATTATGTTGTCAAACTTACAGACTGATACAATAGAGGTAAATTTCTAAGTACAAACGAAGAATAGCTCCGTCGAGAAACATTAAGGCGGGAGGGGGGTATCTTGTCAGCCCACACTTGGGAGTTTCCCCAACACCAGCTATGTCTTCCTTGCTCTACCTTGGCACGCTATTTCTAGCTGCAGCGTCCAGCTTCCTGTTCAAGTCCCATTCAACATTGTAAACACATTCCAAGAAAACTAGACTGCCCAGAGCTCCCTCCTCACACAGGGAAGTCAGGCCAGCAACTCGAGGAGAGAGAGAACCAGCTGGACTGTCTTCTGAGCGAGGTCGTGAGCAAGGCCACTACCGGGAGTTGAACCCGAGCAAGCAAGCTTGCCAAGCCAGGTCCGACTAACGCAACGCCCGCAGAAGCGGGGATCTGAAACGCCCAGCCAAAGGGCAGTTGCGTGGACACCGCCCCAGACTGGGGGCCCTGACCGCGTGGGGCTTTAAAGTATCTACGGCCCGGTCACGAGCTTCTTGCCTCCCCGCCCCCGGCCCACATTTTCCCAGCGACCCAACAAAAGCGAGACCAGGCTGGACGAAGTTGGCTCTCTCGGGTCTCCTCGCTGACCCAGCGATGCCTCCGCTCGCTGGGCAGCGCCTGCTCAACGCACCCGCAGCGGGATGGTCAAGCGCCCCACCGCTCGCTCCCGGCCCCGCGCGGCATCCAGGCGAAGTTTCCCCCCCGAGGGGCCAGCGGGGGGCTGCGGCGGGAAGGCGCAGCGCGGGGGACCCAGGGCTCCCCCACCTCCCTCCAGCACTGCCCCCGCCTGCAGCAACAGGTCCCAGCCTCCTCCCCCGCCCGCCCGCCGACTCCCCGTGCCTTTGGGGTCCGGATCTGTGCAACCTGCGGGCAGCCGCAGCCCCGCGCCCTCCCCACCCTCCCCTCTGACCGCGCCCGTTTCCCGGGCTCTGTTCCCGGTCCCGCGCCACCTGGCCGGAGCTGCCCGGACCCAGACGGACGGACGGACGGACGCGTAGGCTTCCTACCCTGGCTCCGCAGAGGGATGCGGCCGCTCGGCTGGGGGCAGGCACGGGAACTCCGGGGACCTTGGCCCGCGGTCCCGCGTCCGTGGAGGACGAGGAAACTTTGTGGACGTCTACACGGCGCTGGTCCCGGGACTCACGGGCTCCGGTCCCCTCCCTCCGTCTCCTAATCTGCCGAAGCCTGAACTGGCGCTGGCGGCGGCCCGGGCTGGGTCGGGACTTCCAGTCGCTGGGGCTGGGATCGCGGGGCTCCCCCTCTCGGCCAGAAGAAAACTCCTATTGCGCACTTGGTCCGCTCTCCTAGGGACCTTGATGGGATTTTCTGCAGCACCGGGAAACTGTCTTGACTTTTAAAGGCAGACCTGGAGGGTAATAGGTGTAGAAAGAAAAAAAAACCGGTCCCCAGGAGGGATGGCCTTACCGGGTTCTTAATCCAAACGGAGCGAACACGCGGCCCCGCCCCACTCACACAGCGCCGTTTCCTTTTGAACCTCCTTCCAAAGATGCTGTTTCTTAAGAATTTAAAACACCTCCCTGGTCTAACAAGGAGGTAAGTGCCACAGGAAGGGTCTAAATATGAGTGAGGTATGCCCTCTCTGAGCCTCAGTCAGGAAATACTGTCGCTGCTGAGCTGACTACACTTTTTCTTTTATAAATATTCTTTTCTCGTTTAAACTCAGCCAGGATCTTTGCTCGTTATCCCTTCCATCCCACCCCCTAGAAAGAAGCAACAGGAAAATTGCCTCAAAAACCACGTTGTGTTTATTTGCGGCCTTCCTATGCTTACCTCAGAATTCAGAACTTCTCTGTGGGGTTGGAGGGATAACACAGCAAACCATTCTTAATGAGGCCGGTACTCTGAATGGGAAAATAATAAAAACGTGTTGTCAGAGGAAAGACCCTGGCTACAGAGATAAACCCCGTTCTATGAACACGTGGAAAGTGTCAGAACATGTCCTTAACCTCTTCGTTTTCCTCTGCTCGCTTTCAAGAGGATTTTTAATCCCTCCCTTCCTCTACTCCAAGCTGAGATTTTCCTGCCTTCACAGATCCAACTCCTCTGGAGCTCCTGAAGCTACAACCCATATTCCCACTCTCAGTAAGAGGCCTCTTTCTAGCCTCCTCCTTAGTCCCTGGCTGAAACGATTTCCCGGAGATCTGAGATAGTCCTGCCTCTAAATCTGTGTTCCCTGTCTATGAGGGAACAAATTGTGACTGAAACGATATACACCATTGGACGGATGGATGGAAACGCTTGAATCGCCACAATTGTCCCTATCCAACCGCTGCACACAGTGCTCAAAATTGTTTGCTTCTGCATTTTCTCATAATAAATCTCGACGTTAGTTATTTCTTAGTTATTTTTATAGTCTAACTTACAGTATGAACTTCTTTATGAAATGGCTTGAAGACAAAAAAAAGATTTCAAGGATGTCAGAACCTTTATTATTTACTGATTTATTTATTTTTGACTTTTCAAGACAGGGTTTCTCTGTGTAGCTTTAGAGCCTGTCCTGGAACTAGCTCTGTAGACCAAGCTGGCCTGGAACTCACAGAGATCTACCTGCCTCTGCTTTCTGAGGGCTGGGATTAAAGGCGTGCGCCACCACGGCCCGGCTAAAAGTAAGTCTTTAACAGCACTAAAACAAAGAAGAACAAAACTTTGAATCAGATTTACCAGAAGGAAGACAAGGGAAAAGGTTGTGGATGCCTGGCAGGTGACAACCACTAAATAGTACCTGATTCTACCCATCAAATTACCTCAGAGTTCCAGCTGAATATCTTTCTGTTCTTCATGTTGCCTGCAGTCACTCATAAAAAACTGAGCAGCCTTTAGATGCAGCCATTCATAGAAAACTGAGCAGCTTTCTATTAATTTTAAATTTAATGCTCCTGCTCAGGCCAGGTTTCGTGGTTTTTTTTTTTTTCTTTCTTTCTTTTTTTTCAGCGAATAAAAAGAGAGTTGACCAATTCCTACTGACTGGTGCTGGAGGCCATGTCACACCCCTGTAGTTTCAACACTCTGGGGCTGAAGCTAGAGGCCAATTTCTGATAATCACACTCTGACAGGATTTACCACCACCTAGACAACAAGCTTCTGGGTGTGTCTGTAAGGGCCTTTCTAGAGAAGACTACCTGAGGAGTGAGGGCCCACGCTGATTCCTCGAGCTGGGGCCCCTGTTCAGGACAAAGAGAAAGGTGAGAAAACGAGCTGAGCACCTGCTAGCTAGTCCCTTGCTTCCTGGTTAAGGACACCAGACCAGCCTACTTGCAGCGCTGCTGAGGTATGGTAGAGACGGTAGGAAGGCTGTACCAGCTGCTACTGTGATGGACTGTAGCTTCAAACTGGGAGAAAAGAAACTCTTTCTTCCTTAAGTTCCCTTTGTTAGGGTATTTGTAGCAGCAGAACATAACTAATACAATCAAGTTTGCCGCCATTAAATTGAAAATTACCTCTTATTTTTGATTAACAAGTACCATTTCACCAAAAAAAAACCACAAAAACACAAAAATAGGCTGATTATTTAGCTCTATGTTCCTGCAAATGTGTTTTTTAAAAGTCGCTGATCGCTCTTTCGGAAAGGAAATAAACACCAAGATGGCATGAAAATCGCATGGTGGTTTGAAAGAAAATGGCCCCCAAAAGAAATGGCTCTCCTAGGAACTGTGACTTTGCTGGAGTAGATGTGGCCTTGGTTGGAGGAAGTGTGTCACTGTGGGTGAAGGCTGTGAGGTCTCCTTAGCTCAGTGTTTGCTCAGTGAGACACTCCGTCTACTTCCTGTGGCCTGCACATCAACAGGCAGCAATTCATTCTCTCCCTTTCTGCTTGCATGCCGCCATGCTCCCCACTATAACGGCAATGGACTAAACCTCGGAAAATGTAAGCCACCATCTCAATCAAACGTTTCTCTTTGTAGGAGTTGCCATAGTCATGTTGTCTCTGCACAGCAATAGAGACCTGAACTAAGACAAAAATCTTAGACTGGGCCTCATTTGGAAGAGGGAACAATGCGCCAAGTGCAGCAAAGGCCAAATACCCTTGTGATTCCTAGGGCATTCAAGAATGGCCATTGTTAACAGTTGCTCCACACTCCATGGCTTTCCTGAGGTCACTGAGATACTCCAGGAAATATCAACCCTGAAATGGAGTGTCCTATAATTTCTCCTCTGTCTTTTTTCTGCTTGTCAAGCATGTCACCAAAGTTATCACACACACACACACACACACACACACACACACATCCTTTTCACTTTCTTTTATTGTATAAGGTTTTTTCCATCCATCCCCACAAAATAATAACTAGGTGTCCAATGCCACACACCACATACATGATTCACTCATAACCCAGTCATTTTAGAATCCAGCCCAATACAGATCAAATCATATGGAAGATGGAACTTGAAAAATGCTCCCTTCCCAGGTGGAAAACAGCCAGTTTCTCGCTCTGGTCAAGCCAGGAAAACCTGTGAATTCACCCTCAGTTCCCAGCATTTACAGGGCTTGCTTAGGAAGAGCCATTTTGCCTGAAAGTGTGATATAAGATACCATCGAGCTTCTTCATTTATCTATTACAGTATTCAGTCAGTTGAACGTTATTAATCACCTCAGGCTTTAATCATTGAAAATATCTATTTTGCCTATAATTCTCTTCCATTGTCTCTTCTTCCATCCAAAGTTCATGTTCTTTCCAGTTTATATTTTCATCAGTTGATCTTTGGAATCAATCTCTTTTCTTATCACATCGTTCTCCTCCTACCTTTGACCCTGCCCCTACCTCTTCTTACATATTAATCTTACATATCACATTAACACATTTCATTATCCATTTTCTTCCTTCGATCCAGGAAAAGGTTGCTTTTCCATCCTGAAAGCACCTGACTTCTGCACCCATTCTCACACCTCTGTCTCCCACCTGTGAAATCACTACTTGATAGTGTCCCAGTTTTTGTGTGGAACTACAGAGCACTTAGCACTTGCAAAACGGGAGGAGGAAGAAGGAGAGAGAACAGGTCTGGATGCACAGTCACCATTCTGGTCAGTTCAGGAGGATTCTAGACTGAAATAAGAGAGTATCATTTGTGAAATGCCACCACCCAGACCTCTCGCCAGGGAAGGCGTGGCTTTATGGCTAGGATTGGTGTCCTCAGACTGCATTCCTGCCACAGTGTTCGCGGGGTTATGAAATTTGCTCTAAGCAGTGGTACGTTTGTGAGAAACTTCTGGTTTTAGAAAGCATTTTGCTACCATACTTCAAATGCCAAAATACACCCAAACGGAAATCTATTTGTATGTATAATTGGTTAAACTTTCATCAATGGAGTAGAACATAAATAACAAAGTGATTTTTGATAAATAAAAGTTTATTTGAAAATGAGAGTTTTCAGTCTCTCATTAGAATAATTAGTCCATCATTTTCGTCAGAACTCTATCTCCCAATTTATCTCCACCTGGTGAAAGGAGCTGAGAGGAAAGCAGAGCAAAGCAAGGCACCTACATGCCTCAGATTGACATCGTGCGATCTAGGAAAATTTCATCATGCTTTAAAATGCGAAGGTGACATTGGCTCCGATCACAACTAAAAAAAAAACCCGTTCTCTGGGTATCTTTTCATTTCTGTTTTAAAATAATTCTTGGGCGTCTCTGTAAGAGGCAATCTGTGTAAGGATTTTGAGAACAGAGAAGTCTTGTTGGTTCTGAATCAACAGTCTCTCTCTGGTCAACAATTTGAGAATGCAGAGATACGTGCTATCAGCCGATGGAAACTGGCTGCCTTACAAAGGGTGTGACTGCAAACACCATTGTTCAGTTAAAAATGAAAGTTGCCTGGAGCAATTCACAACCACACAAATCCTTTACATCAACTGACTGTAAGGATGATCTCTTTGCCACGTAATAGAGAATTGCTAAAGGTCTTTATGTGAACTCTGAAGTCTGCAAACACAAGATATTTGAATATCCGCACATTACAAAGTGAAGAATAGAATATATTTTCTTACCAATTAATTAAATGTAATTATTTTTACTAGATTTTTTATTTAGTTCTATGAGTTTGGGTAAGAATTAATAAAATGTAAATAAACATGGGTTCGTAATTAAAGTCTCAAATCTCTTACAGTTTAAATTTCATTTATTGAATTAAGTTTCAATTATTGTAAAGGTGAAATTT